GAGAGCTTTGTTAATAAGAGGGTGCAAAACAGACAGTATGTCTAGTCAATCTTTTGCTTAAAAATACATATCCATAGCTTTTTTATTCTGAAAACCATACAAACTTTTTTTTTTGTTCTTTTCCAAGTTTTTATGGGTTTTTTTTTCTTTCTTTGTGAGTTGAAAGAAACGCTTTAATTTTCCAAGCTGAAATGCTACATGAAGTGGTCAGGGAAAGGAATCACTTAGAGCATTTCAATTGACATAAATGACTAGATGCCCACATTTGTATCTGCAGGATGTAATAAATGTGATAAACAGAAATAATGAGATAAAACTGTAAAACAGTTTGATGCATTTCAGCTGTTGGGATTAGAAAAAAAGATTTTGATAAAATCTTATTATTAAGTTCATTTCTAATGTTCATATTTAAATAATTCTGACACATTTAAAAAAAAAATTAGTGTTGTTGTTTTTTATTTTCCAAAGCTTCTATCAACTCACTCTCTATCTGTCTAATACACATTTTGAACACATTGTTTCTCCCACTTCCCATTTTGTGGATCAAGTTGAAATTTTGCACAATTATTTCATGTGTTGTACATGAATCAATTTTAAAAAATTAAACAAGTGGTTAATTAACTAGGGGTATTCAATTTATTTTGTTTGATACTGAAAAATAACTCTTTCGATATTGAGATATAGATATATGGATGTGATTGCAGAGTTTTTCCCCTTAGATGAACTTTGTTTTGTTTTTTAAGTATTTTTGTATATTTTAGTTGTTTTTCTTTATAGCCATAAACTATCATATTTATGTCTTCAGACTTAGTAAAATTAAACATTATATATTTGCTGTTCATTTTAATATATCTTTATTCCAGATGAATATTTACATCACTGCAAGCTTATATAATTTAACCTTCAGTAGCACTAGCTAATACATGACATGAAAGCATGTATTGCATAACCTAATTCCTGTCTGCTTTTATCCAGAGGGAGGCAGGTCTGGATCAAAGTAGTTCCAATTCATTGGAGAAGGAGCACCTGTAAACATATATAAAACTTGTCACAGGATAATTTATTTGCCAAAAAAAAAAAAACTTTATGTTCTGACATCTTATCTTATCTTATATAATACAGACGTTACTTCAAAAAAGAAGATGATTACATCCTACGCGTCATGCATTTAGTCATGCATATTAACCAATGACTTAAATTCTGCCAACTCACTGGTTTTCCTGGCTAGCTCAGGCAACCCATTCCATGCTCTAATAGCGCTAGGGAAGAAGGAGTATTTGTACAAATTTGTCCTAGCATGTGGGACGAGGAATGTGCCTTTATCTTTGTGTACTTCAGAGTATTTTATTAAATTTTGTTTTTGTATTTAAAGATTATGGTTCAGTGTTTTATGTATAATTGCTACTTTACTTTTGAGTCTTCTATCCTGAAGGCTTTCTAAATTTAGTGATTTTACTAAAGGTGTTACTTTAGTCAAATGTGAATATTCGTTTGTTATGAATCTCACTGCTCTATTTTGTGTCTGTTCCAGTTTCTTAAGGTTTTCTTGAGTTGAGGGGTCCCAAACGGAGGATGCCTATTCTATTATTGGCCTAACCAAGGTTAAATAACATTTTAGTTTTATTTTCTTATTTGATTTATAGAAATTTCTTTTAAATAAACCCTAATGCTTTGTTGGATTTTTTAAAATAGTTTCATCAATATGTGGATTCCATGACAGTTTTTCATTTATTATAACACCTAGGTATTTTACGTTTTTAGTCTGTGTTACTGGTTGGTCATAAATAAGATAAGTGGAATTAATTTGTTTTATTTTTCTCGTTACTCTTAACAACTGACATTTTTCTGGGTGGAAATACATGCTCCAATTTGATTCCCATTTCTGTAATTCATCTAATTCTCTATGTAAAATATCTGTGTCTTGTGTTGTTTTTATTGTTCTATATATTATGCAATCGTCTGAAAATAATCAGACTTTTGTTACTGAACTAATGCAATTTGGTAAATCATTTATGTAAATTAAAATTAGTAGTGGACCCAAGACTGTTCCTTGAGGTACACCTGAGTTTACTGTTACCGGTGTTGATTTAGAGCCATTTATTATTACAGTTTGTTCTCTCCCTATCAGAAAATCTTTAATCCACTGATGCAGTGGACCATTAATGCCAAAATATTTTAATTTTGTAAGTCAACTATCGTGGTGAACTTTGTCAAAAGCTTTCGAAAAATCTAGTAAGATAGCATAAATCATCAATTAGTCCTATTAGTTGTGTTTCACATGATCTATATTAAATAGACTTAAACATTCATATGGTAATACCAGTATATTGTCAGGGTTTCAATCTCTGTAACATATAACTTTGTTTATGTACAGATTTCACATACCATAGCATCATATATCAAGACAACGAGAGGCTGGTAGACCTTTTGTACAACTTTGGCCTAGACTCAACAACCAGAGATGTCAACAACAGACTAGCAAGTGAACTTATTCTCAATAATCAAGCAAAAAGAAAACTCTGTTTATTAAGAGGTACGTTTTCACACTGCCTTTTTTGTGTTTGTAAAGAATAAAAGAATCGTACAGTAAAGTTTATTTTCAAAAGTACCTTACAAGCGCACTTTAAAATAAGTTCATTTCAAAAACTTTTTATCATTTTTTATTTTTAAAAAGTACCCCTTTCAATCTATAAAGCAGATGATGTAAAGGTCATCTGTTTCTATGGCTGACGGTTAATGGTAGTATCATATGGCCTGCACTACAACCAATCTGTTTTACTTTCCCCAACTAATGTCGGGTACCCATTAGAGTTATGTGGACTCCAGGGCATCTAATTATAGCAGTTTTAAAATCCCTGCCTTTACAGAGATGTGAACCCATGGTTTGGAAGCCAAACGCTTTACCTCTCAGCCACCCTACCCCATTTTTTAAAATTTAAATTGATGTATTATTTGCTTTAAAAAATATATATTAAATTTCCTTTAATAATTTTGATTTCCTTAACCCTTAACTCTTTCAGTGCGAATTATTTAGATCGAAAAAATGGAGTTTTCCTGGATGAACACAAATTTTCAAGAGGGGTAGATACTAAAACTAACATAACTTTTTTATTTTTATTAAACAATCTAACATATTTGATTTTATTTTAAAGAAAAATGAATGGGCTACAAAATTATAATAAATAAAATTAATTATTTGAGAAAATGTTTTTTTCATTAATTTTAAACTGAGCACTGAAAAAAAAATATAATTAAAAATTCACTTAAAATCGATGTAATGAAAAATTTAACCTTTTAATTAAACATTTAATCCATAAATATTGAAAAACCCCAATACTTAACACATTTAATCACCTCAGATGTCATAAAAGATGAGCAAATACACTAAGAAATTGTATTATTTACATCTTTTGGACTTGGGAAATAAACTAAAAAGAGGAACCATTAACACAATTTTCTCTTTTTTTTTTTTTAAAAAAAAAAGTTGGTACTGCATCAAATTTACTACCAAAACAAAGAACAATCACTCCCACACCCAGGAAATAAAAAAAAAAAGAGAGAAATAAAAAAGTTTAACTTAAAAAGATAGTGAAATAAATATTATAAACCAAGTTACTCGCTGAGAGTAACTCCGCACTGACCAGCACTAGCGAAGTTACTCGCTGAGAGTAACGTTGCACTGAAAGAATTAAAGGACTGAGCTTTTTTACAATGAGTGCTTACAAAATGGAATTACTATTCTAGTGTTTAGAGGCTAAACAATCACACACGTGTCTAAAGAGTTATGGATGAGGACAATGAGCTGAGATAGTTATCACAACATGGCCTAAATTGTGCCGATGTGCCTAAACTCAAATAGCTATAAGAGCAATCTAGTTGCTTCCACTTTATTATTGAACACCCTTTTCTTTTGCCCTTTATTTACCCATGGTTTGTCTTAAGTGCTTGAGAATGAGTACATGACCTTGCCCCTGTGTGTTATTGTCTGCAGTAGAAATATTATAGAAGGGGAAACAAACACATTAAGTATTGCTGATAAGATAAAATAAAACACACACACACATGCAAACAACATCCTTCAGACTGTGGGCTTATCAAAAACTGACTGTAATAATGGACTCGAGTTTTTTTTAACCCCACTCTTTCTTTTATCTAGCCACACCCAGAAGTTTATTGTCTGCTTGCAGAGTGGCTATTATTTCCTGTCTAGCCAAGCCCAGAAGAAATCTGTGTGTTTTGGATTGCCTGCCCCTGCCAGCATCAATGGTTTCCTATTTGAAATTTAATGATATATGAGGGTTAGTGTACTAATGATGAATTCATCAATTGAATTAAGATACAAATACTTGTGGTGAGTTTGGTGGATATGACCAGTCCAGTTTGCCCCTTTAAAACTTCTTCCCTCAGCCACACCTTCAAACTAACCACAATTGTTTTTTCACTTAGATGGTTAACACTTGAGGAACCAAAAAAAAAAAGCCACACGTCAAATTTTTTTACTTTGTTTGTTTGATGTTTGATTGAACTTTGCGCACTCACTTTAACTTATGAACTGGTTATTAAAAACCTTTTTCTTATTTATTGGGTCATATGTGCTAATAGTTTACATTTTCAAATTCCAATTTATCTTTTCATTACCAATAACTTTGATTAGGGTAAGATGTGGAATTATAAATGTTTTTCTGGGAAATTCCTTACTTGACAACATTGCTCATTTACTAGATACACTACCTGAGAGATTATTTATAGTTTCTTTGTTTTATAGTTGGGTTACAACTTGGGGAATAATATTTTGTTATATTCATAAAAAAATTATGTGGTATGTACATTCTTAGCACACACATGTCCTTTATCAGGGCACAATGTCATTCATCATCATTTGTCCCTTTGACTTTCACCCTGTGCTGTGACAGTTTGTGTTCCTTAAGAGCCAGAAATTATTAAAGGCAGCTATTAAAATTTCTACAATACTTTAAAAGAAAAAGTGGGGAAAAAAGGGAGGGGGGGGGGGGGTTGAGAAGAAATGTTCTAATGGACCTTCACAATGACCTTGCATAACTGGCCAGGAGTCTTGACTCTTTAGCCTTCCCTGCTCCGGTAATATTGATCACTTTGCAATATCGGCCAGGAGGAAGAGAGAGGTTTGAGTGAATGAATAAATTTGCTAACAATTGTTGAAATCATTCCTGACCAAGCCAAACCCCCAATACATTTTGATGTGTACTGTCTCTTGATGCTATTCAGTTTTGTCTTTTACAACACTTATCTCTGTTTCAATTAGTTTTAAAGTTATTTTAATTTGAGACACCTCTAGTCAGTGATTTTGAATACTTGTTCTGTTTATTTTTGAAAGTTTTTTTTTCAACTTTAAAAAATAAACAGAGAATGCATTCTGGTCATTGCCTCTCATTTGTAATATAATTCCTCATCTTCCCTCCCAAGCAAAAGAAAAACTATCAAAATATATAAAGTATTTTAAAAAAACAACAAAAAAAAAAACTTATTTTAGGGGAAGAACCAAGAAGAACTAAATTATTACCAATAATTGGTTAATTTTTTGATTGATTTGTGTGATGCCATTGACTATAAATTATTATGAAAAATTTGAACTTGATCCGAGAATGGGAACTTGGAGATTAAATTATTTACAAAATGTAATAATTAGGAAAAAATTCCACCCACATCTCTCTATACTTTTGGATTTATTACCAAACAAAATAATTAATTACCAATGATTAATGAACTGTTTGGATAATTTTGATTTTTTACTGATTTATGTTTTGTTTGGTACAATAAATATTTGTGTAAAGTTTCAACTTGATCCTAGAATGGGTGTAGGAGAACCATCTACAAAACTTCTACCAGACAGAGTGAGTTGAAATACGCTTTTTAATAAGTAACAGGGTTAACACAGAATCTTTGTAACATAATTGTAGAATCAAGATGAAACAGCAAATAACTTTTCCCTGCACCAACAAAATGGAGCACTTTTTTTCCCCCTGTATTTCCACCTATGTAAATAGATTTTGTTGTTTTTTTTGTAATCAGTTGAAATATTACACATTTTTAAAGATTTGTTTCATTAAATTAATTGTTTTATTAATTTTAGTTTTATACATATACATATATGTAGATATATTTTTTGATGTGATCCCACCTATTTTTTACTTTGTTGATACAGAAAAATATATATCTCTTTACTGAGCTCTCTTGTTATATAATTTTGGATGTAGTATTTGATATTCTCTTGTTCTACTCTAATGTATTCAGTATTACTTTTTATTACTTCACACTTGTAATATTTAATTTCATCTTTGACCATATTGCATTGTATGAGGAGTGAATCTCACATTTCTGACTTTAACAAACACTCAGTATTGTACATCATTACATGTAGAAGAATGACAAGGGCTTTTTTTTTGTTGTACTTTTTAAAAAGTTATATGTTTTGCACCTTAACTTATCCTTGCACTTGTTACTGGGCCTGTCTGAAATAAGTTAAAGCACTGCTAATGACACTAACTAACCCTAACAGGCGATAAGTCACATTAATTTGTCCTACTAAAACTAGTTAAGGAAAAATGATTTCATCTAGTGGGATGCGTGGTCCAGAGGCTAAGCATGCTTGAATTTGGCTTGGCTACCTCTGAAGGAGGCTCGAGGTTCAACACCCAAAACAGGCAGAGTTATATTTACTCAGCACCTAAAGGCAACATGGAAAACCTCCTAGATACCCCCTTCCCCCACTTTTTCTTTATTGTATGGAGCTAGAAGCTTTTATTGCTGAAACAAAGGAATAAACATGATATGTAACATATAATAATACCAGTACTAAGGTTATTGAGAGTAGAGGAGGAGTATATGAGGAAACATTGATAAGCCCTGTCAAGGGCACAGACCATGATCCAGCGCCTAGCAGTTTGACCAAGTACCAATGCAACTTCTCCTTTGATTATCCATCTCTCAAATAAAAAAAAAAGCTGTTGTTATCTGGCCTCCACATTGCTACTCAGGTCAGGTGATTATGTGCACCTCCTGGAGCCTGCCCACATCTTTGTCCATAATCCTCCTCACAAGCGATTCTATATTTAGAGTCAACACATATTGGAATCTGAGGCTTCTTCCAAAGACAAACAATGGCCAAAATGAGCGGTTGACATTAATGCATCATGTTTACTCTTTCTTTATTGTACATGAGTTGTTGTTTTTTATTTGCATTTTAAGATATACAAGTAAGGAGCAGTAAGCTTTTGTGAAACATTTATTTCACTTCATATTATCCTTAGGTTAAAATAGAATGATCAAATTATTCAAAATTATCTCAGTTATGCATTATCTAAGAATAAATTTGAAAATGAAGCCTTAATAGGGCACTGCAATATATTTTTGATAACAAGTTTGGTAACTGTGATTGAGTATGTTCCATTTTTTTAAATCCTTTTAGAACTTGAGCAACCTAGATACAATGCTAAAGGATGCATTACATACAATAGGTTAGACAATCTAATATCATTTTATCCTTACAAGTTGAGCTATTCCTCTTCTGTCTATAATATAAATATGGGCAAGTAATATATTTTTAAAAAAATATAATACATTAGTTCTAGCAGTTGAATAACTGACTCATTTATTCATTGAACTTATTGCAATCATGTCATGTGACACTCTGTTCCACAAGTGCAATTATTTACTAGTTTTACTTTGTTGACACAATTTCTCTGTTTCAAACTGGACAAAAATGTTGACAAAAATTATCTAGAAACTATGTCTAAACATATTTTTTTTTTTTTTTATAGATTCTTCTCTGCAATACAGGAAGTGAGTTATGACACCTGTGATCAATGAATGTTCACTTATTTATACATCACCTTACATTTTCAAGCAATAAAATGTTTATCAAGTCTGAGTTTTTTTTGCTATTTGTTCAAAATGATTAGCTTGTGTTTGAGTATGGAATAGTGTTGACAGAGGATTTGTTAAAGCCCTGTTGACACTATAACTATTAAAGCCATGCAACAGGATGAATCTTATTATCCACTTCATTTACAAATAAAAACAAATAAGAACATAAAAAAAACTTTTTTTTAAATCACAAAGCTTATAGGAACTGTTATTGTATCAATTAGTTTGGATCAGGCATGTAAGTAAGTTTGTAATAGAGCTAGACCAACAACAATAAATTTGTGCGATTAATATTTTTTCCAATTGTTTTTGTTTAGTGCTATATTTTATGCTTTCAGCTTTTTCAATACACAATCCTATCACAGATTGGGTGAGAGAAAAAGGGTGGTGGTGGAAGGGGTATTTGGGTGGATTTTTCGTAATTGGTTTTTAAAAGCATGCATTTACACACAAAAAATGGGAGAATGACCTGAATTTGAACACATGCCTCCTAGGGCCAACATGCTTACCACTCTGCTAGTGAGGTACTTATGACCAGAGAAGATTTTGTAGTTATATATTGTGTGTTTCAGTTAAGAGGGGCTATCTTATCTTATATAATACAGACGTTACTTCAAAAAAGAAGATGATTACGTCCTACGCGTCATAATAATAATAATTAGATAGATGGTATAATATTGCACCAAGCTAATAGAAGAAAGAGAAATTTACACATGTGCTACATCAACTACAAAAAAAGCATTCGATTCAGTTCCGCATGATTGGCTGTTGAAAACCCTGGAAATTCATAGAATCAACCCAACAATAAAACAACTACTGAAAGTCTGTATGGATAATTGGAAGATAAGTCTACACCTTAATCATGATAAACTAGGTTCTGTGCACATAAGAAGGGGTATATACCAGGGAGACTATCTCCGCTCTGGTTCTGCCTAGCTATTAACCCACTATCTAAATTACTTCATGGCACTACAAACGGTTTTAGGGTTGACACTAAATGTACAAAGTCTGTGTCTCATCTGTTATACATGGATGATTTAAAGCTATATGCAGAGAACGAGCAAAAGTTACACACCTTAATTAAAACAGTAAAACGCTTCAGTGACGATATCTGCATGTCTTTTGGCTTGGATAAGTGTGGTATCATAAGCATAAAAAAGGGCAAGGCAGCCAACACCAACATTGCATTTGAAGGCATCGAAGAACTGAACTCTGCCTCCCTTTATAAATATCTTGAAATAAACCAGAATGCCACGATAGACCATAAAAATTAAAAGAGGACTTTCTTGGCCAATACAAGCAGAGAGGAAATAAAATTCTCAACACAAAACTGTCTGGCAGTAATCTCATCACGGCTGCTCTACACGTTCGGTGTCATCAAATGGACAGATACCGACCTACATGACATTGTTAGACTCACGAGAAAACTATTAACCAAATTCCGATGTTTACACCCCAAGTCCTCCACCATAAGGCTATACCTGCCCCGGAAGGATGGAGGCCGTGGATTGCAGAACATCTTCAAACTGTGTAAGACGCAAGTTTCCAAAATACGATAAAAACTGCACGCCTCCAGCAATGAACTAGTTTCCTTCCTACGCAAATATGACTATGATGCAACCCCTCTGAACCTAAACAATGTTGATGTTAATATCGGTTTGGACGACGTCGGGCATTAGATTCGCCAATGGGAAAAAAAAAACACTCCACGGAAAATTCCAGGCTTTATTACATGGGGACAACATTGACAAGGCTGATTCCTTAGCATGGCTAAAGGCAGGTCATCTTTACCCTGAAACTGAAGGCTTTGTCACAGCAATACAGGACAGAGTAATTAGAACAAAAAATTACGAGAAACATATTCTAAAACTCAATATTGTTGACAAATGCCGAAAATGTGGGTGAGTCAATTGAACACATAATGGCGGGATGTTCAGCCCTATCGGAATCTGCCTACCTAGGTCGCCATAAGCAAGTTGTAAAGCTAATACACCAGCACTTGGTTTTGACACACAATTTGATCGGTAAGGATACTCCTCCATATTATAAATACTCACCACAAGAGGTTCTCGAGTCTACTGATCATCTACTGTACTGGTATAGGCCTATTTTGACTGACAAAACGGTAGATTTTAATCGCCCTGATCTGCTGCTCATCGATAAAAAAGAAAAGGCCGCTACCATTATTGACATCGCCGTACCACTATCTCATAATTTAAAAAAAAACTGAGTTGGAAAAACAACGAAAATATGTGAACCTTGGCTTGGAGATTAAGCGTTTATGGAAATTATCTAAAATAACAATATACCCCATTGTCATATCAACCGAGGGAATAATAACATCTGACCTCACAGATACCTTCAAGGCCCTTGGCATTCCTAGGAACATTCTCGTTGTCCGAGGGCGGTACTTCTGCAGACCTGCCACGGCACCAGACAATTCCTCGGTGGAAACTGATAAAGGGACTACGATGAATTTTGTTTCCCTTTAACGAAACTCGACCCAGGCTTCGCCAGAGAATGAATACTCGTTCTTTTATAATAATAATCTTTATTATCCGTATGGAAATTTGTCTTACAATTTGTATGTATGTATGTATTTAGTCATGCATATTAACCAATGACTTAAATTCTTTCAAGTCACTGGTTTTCCTGGCTAGCTCAGGCAACCCATTCCATGCTCTAATAGCACTAGGGAAGAAGGAGTATTTGTACAAATTTGTCCTAGCATATGGGTCGAGGAATGTGCCTTTATCTTTGTGTATTTCAGAGTATTTTATTAAATTTTGTTTTTGTATTTGAAGATTTTGGTTCAGTGTTTTATGTATAATTGCTACTTTACTTTTGAGTCTTCTGTCCTGAAGGCTTTCTAAATTTAGTGATTTTACTAAAGGTGTTACTCTAGTCAAATGTGAATATTCGTTTGTTATGAATCTCACTGCTCTATTTTGTGTCTGTTCCAGTTTCTTAAGGTTTTCTTGAGTTGAGGGGTCCCAAACGGAGGATGCATATTCTATTATTGGCCTAACCAAGGTTAAATAACATTTTAGTTTTATGTTCTTATTTGATTTATAGAAATTTCTTTTAAATAAACCCTAATGCTTTGTTGGATTTTTTAAAATAGTTTCATCAATATGTGGATTCCATGACAGTTTTTCATTTATTATAACACCTAGGTATTTTACGTTTTTAGTCTGTGTTACTGGTTGGTCATAAATAAGATAAGTGGAATTAATTTGTTTTATTTTTCTCGTTACTCTTAACAACTGACATTTTTCTGGGTGGAAATACATGCTCCAATTTGATTCCCATTTCTGTAATTCATCTAATTCTCTATGTAAAATATCTGTGTCTTGTGTTGTTTTTATTGTTCTATATATTATGCAATCGTCTGCAAATAATCAGACTTTTGTTCCTGAACTAATGCAATTTGGTAAATCATTTATGTAAATTAAAAATAGTAGTGGACCCAAGACTGTTCCTTGAGGTACACCTGAGTTTACTGTTACCGGTGTTGATTTAGAGCCATTTATTATTACAGTTTGTTCTCTCCCTATCAGAAAATCTTTGGCATTTAGTGTAGGCTGGGTGTTTCCTCAGGCTTTTTAAAAATATATAAATATATAGTCCCCGCATTTTAAGGGAGTTTTCGGTCTTGGCAATTTTCTCCAATACTGACATAAAAGGAAACATCTAGGTCTGAAGACTGTAACCGGAATATCCATGGGACAAGGTGGGGTTGTCCATTGGTCCATTCTCCGCCATCCATAGAGCTCTCCAAATGGAACTTTTCTGCAGTAGAAAGCTTAAAGTGGACTGTGCCCTGTGGAATCGTCACATGCTGGATCCGGGCCCCTTCACGATATCACATTCACCAGATCCAGAAAAAAACAACACTTCATGATGGATTTATATCTAGTATTAGAATGTAGTGAGACAAGGACCTCCGTCTGGTGTAGTGCAATCCAGACCTCCGTCAAGGAGGGGGGGGGGGAAGGTCCACTATTATTCACTTAGTGAAATGCAAGTGGAAAGGCAGTGGGGTTATTTATTTCTCTTGGTTATTTCCAAGCCCCGATACCCACACGGGGGAGTATCGCCACAGAGTGGAGGTTTGGAGCCAGAGTTTTCCTTCTCCTAGATGGGTTGCGTTATTCAGGCTGACGTGCCCCATCAACACGAAGCTAAACTGGTTTTGAGGCGCCAGTGTTCCGCCTTTCATCCCTTCTCCTGTCAGTTTGTAAGAACAGGTTCCGACGGATTTTTGAGAAAATCACACGTGAAGGCCAGGAGCTGGATTTGACTGTCAGAGGCATTTAGAGACGCAAGCCATGGGAAGCATTTCTTGGAAAGGGGGTGCTTATCCCCACTTTCACCCTCGGCATTGACAGTCCTTTGGAACCCTAAACATTACACCCGGACTAAACAACAAACAACCAACCATCAAAACACATGTACTAAATAACACCTTAACAAAAGAATCAAATCCACTGGAGCTCAAAGTAGGCACGCTTGAAACAATTGAAAGCTATCAAAAAACAGCTATCCATATTTATACAGACGGATCGGCTTTCAAAGCTACCATCAATGCTGGTCTTGGTGCCTTCCTGGTCTTCCCTAAAAATAAACACTTTGAGATAAGCGCACCCTGTGGCGATTACTGCTCAAACTTCCAAGCCGAAATTGAGGCAATTACTATAGCACTACAGACAGTGGAAAACAAATTATATGAAGGAGTGCAACCACCATCAGATATTGTTGTCTTTACAGACTCCCAATCTACTCTGCAAGCACTTAACAGCAGCACATCAAACAGCCCAAGAGAGTTGACAACACTCATTGTGATAATTCACCAGATGATATCAAAATTAAATATCAATATCACATTACAGTGGATCCCTGGACACATTGGCATCA